ACAAAAGGACTCTTAACTCTGTTTCGCAGCCCCTTGATTGATAGCACTGGTGAGTGAAATTATAAGCTTTAATGATCACGTTAATTTCTGGGGAAAGGGAAGCGGTCAGAAGAGGTTCTCAATCACAAGCACCACAGTCAGCTGGGCGAGTTCAATGACAGGCTGGAGCAAGAAAGAGGGGGAAGAATTAACTTTTTTAAAGGTCATCAGAGAGTAGTGGGAGATAACCTGGCATCAGAGATTCGGGGCACAGACGATCCTGGAGCCTGGACACGAACCCCTGTCCCGGGGCTCCTGACTGAGGGCAGGCATCAGTGCTTCTCCTCCTTAGCTCTGCTCCCAGGCGGATGCCCCAGAGATTCTGCTGTCACCGTGCTTGGGATATGGCTCGGAGGCTGGCAGCTGTGACAGCCCCCGACATGATCCTCTGAGCAGCCAACATGGAGAATGACTCGTCTAAATGAAAGGATCTGGGGCCAGTAGTTAGGATTGAGCGCATTGGGGAATCCACTTAACCTGACTGGCTCTTGCCACCAAGGGGAGTTGCTTCTGCTGGTCTCCTGGCCCCACCTGAAGACAAGAATGAGAATAAGGCCACCCGGCTCTCCTGAGAATCGAACCTAGGACTTCAGCCTCCTCAAAGTATTGACCCTACTCACAGTTTCCCAGCAGAGCATTGCAATCCTGGGGTAGGTCAGGAAGCTGTGCAGTTGATGTGGCAACATCCTGGTTACCATATTAGGGAGACTGCCCTCTGCACGTGGCCAGGGAGGCCAGCTCAGCAGTGGCAAGAGCTCTGATGGCCTTCCCGGATGGGCTCTGTACTGGTCAGCTGTATTCGGAGCAAACAGCCACTTCATGTCCCAAAATAGGCTTCACAAACCTAAAAAGATGATTTAAAAATACAGACTAAATAAATCATGCATCATTTGTGGTAAAGGCACTGGAGTTAATCAAAGAGAGTTATTGTTCTTCAATTTTTCCTAAGTGATTATAAAAAATGTTATTGTAGAATGAGTGGCTCAAGATTCTTAGAGCAGCATCTTAGCTGCAGAAAGTGGCTGCCAAGCTGCTCCTACATTATCAGTTATCCAAAAAAAAAAATACATTATCATTTATCTACTTTCTCTCAACCTTCCTCGTGACATGGATGCACTCAAACGTTCACAGGAGAGGCCTGGATGGAAAAATCGGGGGCAGCGGGCTCTAGGGTGGGCAGGCTGACACCGACCCGGCCAGCCCGGGAAGCAGCACAGCAGAGGCGTGTCCCTGACAGAAACAGGCATCCTCTGTATTTTTTTAACAGCATCTGAAGTGTTCATCAAGCCCGGGTCTGATTAAGCACTTTTAAATTCTGAGCAGTGAAATGGGCCCTCTCATCCCCTCTTGGCAGGAGCGCAAACTGATCCAACCCTTTTGGAGAGCCGTTTGGTTGTATGTATCAAAATTAAAAATGCATATAACCTTTGACCCAGAAATGCCACTTCTAAGAATTTTTTCCTACAGAAAGACCCCAAGTCCATGGGAATGTACATGGAAAGATGGTTTTTTGCAGTTTGTTACAGTGAACAACAGCAAGTAACTTGAAGTCTATCAGTGAGGAATTAGTTGGGTCAACTACAGTTAATCCATAAAATGGAATACTAGGCAGATGTTAAGAAGAATGAAGTAGAGTCACATGTACCCGCAGAAGAGAAAGCCATACACACAAAAATAATTTGCAGAAACGTAGAAGGTTTCCATTTTTCTAAGGATCATGGACAGCAACCACAGTGCACGTCTCTGGTCAAGGGGTTCAGTTCCTGGGCTCCTAAATTGGACTAAAACCCCTAAACTACAAGTGAAATAATTTGGGAGCCTAAATTCAGCTCCTGAAATCACCTCCTGTTCTTTCTTTTCCTTAACATCAAAGGACAGCTAAAAGTGATTCAGACGCAAAGGTAAGACCCCTCACCTAATTGTCACAGTATGTAAATAATACTTTTGAAAAGCAATGCTCCCAGATTTAGAAAAACCATTTGTCAAAAGAGCACCGAAGACTGGTTTTTGGCTGCAGTAATCACTTGGCTAGGCCCACCTTCTCTTGTTTGTTTATTCAAATTGCATATGTGGGAATGGTATAACTTGAATTTGTATATCCAAAGACTACTATGGCACAACCCCCAGCCCCCCAACACCAGCCATAGAGGGTATCTGCCTTAAAATCCATGCAAGCACAAAGGTTCTTAGAGCACCCAAGCTGCAGCCAGCAGAGATCCCCAAATCCCAGAAGAAAGTGCTGCGGAGTTTTTAATCCTGGGCTTTTTCAAACTTTGAAAGCCAGCCTTGATTCATGCTTATCATGGCAGAGATGCCCCAAACAGGCAGTTCCAGTGGGAATATCTTCTAGGATAGGTCACAGGAAACTTACTCCCTCTTAACTTTACTGAGACTATTTTCAGTGGATTAAAATAGATTCTATGGGGGCGCCTGGGTGGCTCAGTTGTTAAGCATCTGCCTTTGGCTCAAGTCATGATCCCAGGGTCCTGGGATCGAGCCCCGCATCGGGCTCCCTGCTCAGCGGGAAGCCTGCTTCTCCCTCTCCCACTTCCCCTGCTTGTGTTCCCTCTCTCACTGTGTCTCTCTCTGTCAAATAAGTAAGTAAAAACCTTTAAAAAAATAAATAAAATAGATTCTATGATTGTGATAAATTTTATTATAGGTTGGCAATACCCTTCTGTCCCTCTCCTCCATGAGAGGAGTACGCTTCCCTGCCCCGGGGGAGGTTGGGTTTGGCCAGGCTTGTCTGGCTTTGGCCAGTGGAAAGTGACCAAATGTGACACGAGCAGCAGCTTCAAAAGCGTTTGTGTGGTTTGGCTCAGACCCTCGCACTTCTGCGCTCTGCCACGCAAAGAAGGAGCTTTCGGGAAGCCACTAGTCCAGAGTGAAGAAACACCGAACATGCTTGAACCCCAACTCCAGCCTGGAGCCAGGCCCAGCTGAGCCTCCAGGGACCTGCAGTGTTCAGAGCAGGAAGTTCAAGTTCGCTGGTGTAAGCTTTGGGGGTTATTTAGCATTCTTGAAGCAGAACTTGACCAAGACAGGGAGGAATAGCCTTAGACCCTTTGCTCAGCTTTACCAAATCTTGTCACTGATCTCATATTTGTTTCCGGTTCTTTTTTGTCTTATGAAATAAGCCATTTTAGCATCTTCTTGGTACCTTTCACTAATCCCATACGTTCCCAAATGTAACCACTATTATGCTGTTGGTGTTTATCCTACTCATGTTTATTTTAAATGTTTGTGATATATTTACGCATCTATAAACATAATCTGGTCTTGTTTTGTAAGCTGTAAAGCTTTACATAAACACCAAGCTCTATGCAGCCTCTGTGATTCATTTCCCACCCACTCGCACACTGTATTTCACAACATGGACCCTTGTTGAATACACCGGCTTGAGTCTACTCGCTCTAACTGTTGGCTTTATGTATAATACTGTATATGCCACGGGGTACCTATTCTCCACTGGTGGACATTTTCATTGTCAAACATGAACAGTGTTGCCAGGAACGTTGCAGTACCTTGTTGAGTACCTTGCTTTTCTCTAAGACTCACTTCTCCTCTGTGTGGACTCAGCAGAGGAGTGCCTGCCTGGTCGACCTTCCACACATGCAATCTCTAAGGTCAAATTAGCCAAGAGTTGCTAGTAGCTCTGCTCCAGACTCTTGCTGGAGCTGCTTCCCAGGATGAACCCACGGCACCCCTGGCCTTGGGCACCTCTGATTTCCGCCACTGGCCTCTGGCAGTGGGGCCGGTGCCCTGAGATTTGCTGGGAACCTCTGAAAGCACTTTCTACTGCTCCTTCCACATCTTACTCACCAATGCAAATCCTCACACTTTATCTTTTTGATCATTAAATGATTTCAAGTTCCTGGTCAGGACTGAAATGGTGGTGAGAGAGTTAGAGGAGTGAGTGAATGAAGACTCTGTTAATCGGCGTCTTTCTTCTTCACACAGCAATTTTTCTAACAGATGCAATTACATTTGAGAACTGCAGAGAACAGAATCTTATGTTTTATGTCTTTATTCATCATTTTACAAATGGGATTCACTGTAAAAAGGAAATTGCCTTTGTGGTTCAGTTCTTCAAGCTGGAGTGCTCTGAGTTTCAGTTTCTACGCCAGCTGACACGGCCACCTCGTAGCTGGCAGGCAAGAGCCAGCTGGGGAGGGAGGCTAAGAAATCAGGTAGAGTTCCTTTAAATCCAATATATTTTTATTCTTTGTAAATACAATGAGTACAACCTTTTAACTTCACAAATCAGTTAATTCACTTTGTACAAGAAAAGTTTTACTCATCCTATGATAGTCCAAGTGCTGAATATTTTTCCTCAGTGCTAGTACCTAATAAATCAAAATGGGAAAAGTACAGCAGCTATTTTAAAATGGTTGTTTCTACATTTCCATAAGTATAGATTCATACCAAAGGAGCAGCTTATAGTGTAGGACGGTGTGTGTGTGTGTGTGTGTGTGTGTGTGTGTGTGCGTGCATGCGCGCGTTCAAGGCTTTACTAGAAACCGGTTTTCTGAAAGGCATTGAAGAGTCTCAGGCTGTTAGCAATGGATCAATCAAGAAACATTTTAGCCTTCATCTCCCTGTGGTTCCTTCTGACATCATGTCTCTGTTCGTTTACTCTGGTGTGACTCGCTGAAACACGAGTTTGGACCCCCATCGCCTTTGGTTTCAGCACTTTGTTAACGGGACAGCGATCTGCCTCATCCTTCACCTCCACTTTATTTGGTTTTGCTGTTTTTATTCATCCTCCCTCAACTTGTGTTCTTTCAGTAAAGCTCTTCTATTTTTGAGATGTTATCCAACCTGAAGTCCTGGTGAGAATCTCATTTTCGTCCACCAGTTCCTTGGACAAGGTTGCCTGGCCTATGGTATTGAGGAGGAGGAGGAGGGGAAGAAGAAGGAGAAGAACAAAAGAAAGAGAAAGGAGAGAAAATAGAGAAAAAGCAAGTCTCACGGCATAAGCTACCTTTCATTTACTAACTCAGTCCTGAAGGCCACTTCATGATGTATTACGATAGAAGAAAAACTTTTGATAAAACTTTTGCTTTAAAACCTAACCATTATTTTTTAAAATAAATTCTCCAACGTAAAATAGTTCTGAAGGCTGCCGTATGATGTTATACACAGAGCTCTATTTGGTTACCCAACTTCGTACGCTAAAAAGGAAAAGAAAGTTCTACTGATGGTTCAGCTTTTGAGAGTTCAGCCCGATCTTCCAGGTAGGAGGCAGAATGGCACGGCCTGCGGCAACCCCTGAGTCAGGGGCCCCCCTCCCAGGGCGTGGCAGCAGGGAGTTCTCTCTGTTCGGGTGGTCCTGTGATGCCCCCTTTCCTTCCCCGCTGCCCCACCCTGGGGGAGGCAGCAGGTCAAAGCAACTGGAACTGTTTTGTGTCCACTGGCATGTTTTTCTGAAGGCTACACATTCCCAGGTTTATGCTTCCTTGAAGGGTTTGTTAGTTGAGGCTTGTTCTCTGTGGGTCGAAGTTCATCAGATACTGTCCCATCCTGAAAAGCGGGGACTCGGAGCTTAGATATCACTGGATTTGTACATATCTGAAAGCAGTCTTGTAATTGGCACGTTGCCAATGGTTTTTTTGAAAAACACTTCTTCTATGGTTGATGGACTAATAGATCGTAAAGCTGGCAAAAGCAACAGGAGTTTTCCAAAGCGACAGGGTTGCGTGGGATATCTGGAAGAGGAGAAGCCGCGAAAGCAAGGTAAGACCCATTACTCTTGTTAAGTCATACCCCGTACTCGAAGGCACACCCTCTTCCTGGCTGGGCCTCTTTACTGCCCCACCCTCCCTGCAACGGAGGCCCCCACAGGCGCTTCGGGCCCTGCTCTGCAGGGTGAACAGTCGAGGCATGAAGAGCCTAAATGATGCTGCCAGAATCACGTGGTGACTGTCTCTACATTAGCAAAGGGCTTGCATTTTGTTTGGAGGAAAAGTAATTTTAATTTTTTTTAAAGATTTTATTTATTTGTTTGAGAGAGAGAGAGGTGAGAGAGAGAGAGAGAGAGCACAAGCAGGGGGAGCTGCAGGCAGGGGGAGAAGCAGGCTCCCCACGGAGCAGGGAGCCTGATGTGGGGGCTCGATCCCAGGACCCCGGGATCATGACCTGAGCCAAAGGCAGATGCTTAACCGACTGAGCCACCCAGGTGCCCCGGAAAAATAATTTTAAGAAACCTGGGACTAAGTTTGGGTCAGATAATACACTGAAGGCTGCCAGGGTAGGAAATCACCACGCTGCTGAGGATAAAGGTAGTGCTAACATCCACGTTTTCTGATTCGCAAGGCTCCTTCCTCAGGCTCGTTCCCTCAAATAAAATGGATTCCTTTTCTAAGCCATTCTCCAAATTATTATTCAGGCATTATACTTAGTCACTCTCAGGAATAATTCCGTCCTTATTACACTGCAAATTAAAGACTAAGTTCTGTTGGGTGGTAGTGCCATCCAACTTTCATGTCAATGAAATTGGCATGTAATTAAAGATGTGAGAAATTGCTTAACAATTTCCTCTCTTGATGCCCAACATACGTCTGTGCTCAGATGGGCAAGTTCAATTTTCTGCTGCCCTTAGATGCCTGTAACCTCACTGTGGCCCAGATGCTCCCTCCGTCAATTTTTTACAATCAGCTACCTATGTATTTCACAAGGAGGGCTCCTGCCTCTACGGCACACCACCCAGAAGACTGCACTCCTGGGGCACCTGTCTGTAAGTAAGCCAGGTTTAACCCCTCCCTAGCCACAGCATGCTAGAAACTGACAGATATCAAAACTCCTTCAGAGGAGTTAGGGGGTTAAACTCAGCTGAATGCTGAGTTTAACTAACCAGTAACTTCACCCAGCAAATAGAATCTAGGGGAACAATTGTCACGGTTGTCTCTTCGCTTTGGGCACCTGGGAGTCCCTCTCTTCAACCTGATATTAGGCTGGTAAGTCTTTCTGGGCCTCTGAGGACCCCGTTTGGCTCTTTTGCTGCCCCACTTCCTTATCACCCATGGACAAGGACCACCAGACCTTGTAATCCCAAGACCTACATCTCCCTTCTACCTTACTCTCTTCAACAGCTCTGTTTCCCTTCCCAGGGTCAGGCCGAGAAGCAAGCACCCTGCAGTGGGTGGGAGGCTGTGGCTGCCTAGAGAGGCCTCCACTGTGTCTATAGCACTCACACAACATGCTGGGTTTCCCACGGTGAGCAAACACCGTGGGAAATAGTAACTTCCAGAAAGGATGGATTTGGGAGAATGGTCTATACCATTAGCTCTTGACTTTCTGCATGTAGATTATCTACTCACCTACTCACCTACTTCTTTTATTTCCTAGTTGGGAAGGGACTGGTTAGTCAAGAATGAATTGTCTGCTCTTTGTGGAGTCCTGTACTACCTAGAAACAGTAACAGTGTGTGTGTGTGTGTGTGTGTGTGTGTGTGTGTGTGTGTGTGTGTGAGGCAGAAAGAGAAAGAGAGAGTCTAACTACTCAGTATTATTTTTTAGAATATCTATGTCCCTGATTTCATCCATTAGCATAAATAACTGGAAGTTTTCTTTTCAGGCATAAGTGTTCTGTGTCTGTCACAGATCTGTGTATTTGATCTTCAGTTATAATATACAGTTTGTGTGAAACGCCAATTCCTAGCCTTTTCCTTATGTCCTAGATAATTAGAGAAGTAGCCTACAGAGCTGAGTTCGCGATTTTAACAATTAATGTATAATTAGCTCAGTTTGCAATACTGACTTTTCATTTCAATTTCAGATCTTATTTTTCTAGACGGGAAAGTGCTAGAGCAGAATGTTCTCTGATTGAAGGAGCTAAGAAATAAGGCATATGCCGTTTTGCCCTATGTATGACTCTAATTTATTAATTTATTAATAATTTCTAATTTATTAATTATAGGGGCGCCTGGGTGGCTCAGTCAGTTGAGCGTCCGACTCTTGGTTTCAGCTGAGGCCATGATCTCGGGGTCTTGGGATGGAGCATGGAGCCTGCTTGGGATTCTCTCTCTCCCTCTCTCTCTGCCCCTCCCCCTTCTCTAAAAAAATTAAATTATAGCTATAGCTCATATCATGAGATAAAAATTCCTTGTCAAAGCAAATGTGTTCCTTCAATGAGTAACTTCTTTGTTTTGAGGCTGGGGAGAAGTAGTATACTTGCCATTTTCCTAAAATAGACTTCTGTTAATTTGTGGTTGAACTCTCTCAGGTCACCCTAGAAGAAACTTCTGGTGGGCCCTGCCCTCTCAGACTCCCCTCCCTGGACTCTGGCATCTCCAGTGCCTCTACCACAGTCCCTGTGCTGGCTCTCCTCGCAGCCCTTCTCCCCTGCTGAAGGCCTGCATTCAAGGATCGGCTCACATGTTATCTCCTCCATCACCCAGCCTTTCCAGACTTTCCCTCACCAACTAGAATTCGTCTCTCCCACTCCCCACTTTGCTTTTTCTCTCTTCGCTGGTCTGAACTGAATGAACACTTTTGTCTACTTCATTCAGTGATAAGGGGGAAGTGTCTTCTTCTTTCTGGTGTCCCACAATGCTCACCAGGAGCCCTGCATGGAGTGAGTACTCAGCAAAGGCTTGACTGAATCAATAAGTGGATATCATATTCTTCTCAGTGTAATGTTCTTTATACCTTAATGACTTTAAATGTCAGAGTCAGTCATGATATACAAGTTAGTTTTTAGTGGGCAAAAAGTGCCCAAATTATGTACTGCTCCATTTTTATAATTCTGAGCAAATATTAAGTGCTTACTATACATTCTGAAATTTAACATGGATTTGAAATTGTAAAACCATAGCACTTTAATTTGAAGGCCATGTACACAGGCACTATCACTCAACATAGTTTCAGTGATATTCCATGGACAGGGAACAGTTTTATTCATTAGTTTTCAAAAGAGGATTTAAAACAGAAATAAGCAGATTCATAGCAGAAGCAGTATCACCCCCAACGAATACAACTGACTTGGGATTTCTCCCACCCCCACCCCTTAGGTGAGGAAGGCATGAATTGCCTCTACCCACTCAATTTAGTTACTCCCAGCACAATATCTGTGGGTGATGTTGAGATGATGGAGACAGGTTTCCATGGGCTTCCTTTCCAGGTCAATCTAAGAATAAACAATACTAAGCAACTCTGTTCTAACCTCGGATCTGCTGCAATCCTAACTTAGGAAGCTAGCAGGGTTCCACTACTCTTTTTTTTTTTTTAAGATTTTATTAATTTATTTGAGAGAGAGAGAGAGAATGAGAGATAGAAAGCATGAGAGGGAGGAGGGTCAGAGGGAGAAGCAGACTCCCTGCTGAGCAGGGAGCCCGATGTGGGACTCGATCCGGGGACTCCAGGATCATGACCTGAGCCGAAGGCAGTCGCCTAACCAACTGAGCCACCCAGGCGCCCAGGGTTCCACTACTCTTTAAGAGCCTTGCTTTTTTTCATCTGAAAATGAGATCACAAAGTCTATGCCTCTTGGTGGACTTGTCCATTGGTGGGCCAGGAGGAGCACTGCTGGAGCCCCGGGGGCTGAGCGTTTCTACAACGAGCCAAGAACAGCCCCTGCCAATGGGCTCTGCTTGGCCAGAAGATGCCTGATGGATGCTATGACTCAAAATAACTCAATGGATACCAGTCACCAAATCTAAACAGCAGTCACCATGGGGTTAGAGATGGCCTCTCAAGGATGATGCAAATGTGTCCACATGTTTTGATGGATCTACTTGTTCAGCCAGGCCAGCCATACGGGGTCTGGCAATGCTTTGGCTTTGATAATCGAACCCGATCTGCTCCTCTCACCCGCCCTGCGAGATAAGTGAGATGCTAACTATATTAACTGGCGGGCAACAGGGTAATTAGTCACAGGGTCCGAACTGGCTTATTACTGCCTGCTCACACATTCACAATGGAAGCAATTTTTTTTAAGTACACGGTCAAGGCAAACAGGAGTCACCTGGTATGGATGTAGCTGTTGAGGGTTAGCTGGGCCTCATCTTGAAGGGCTGCGATGGCGGCAGCATTCCGGAAACTTCTCAGCTCAGAACCACTGTGTGTAGGAACTAGAAACGAAGACGGGGGAAACTATGATAAGCAGCACAGGAAATGCAGATGGGAAGGCACCTCTCTGGAAATGGATGGCCAGCAGAACAGGTAGCACCCCCACCATGGAAAACGGGGCCAGCCCAGAGTATCAGCTCCCTTAAAAAACATCCCCTCTTTTTGCAATTATCGGTCTGGACTCTGAGGTGGCTGAGTGAGTGAGGTGGCAAACCTGGGGAAGGAGAGGAGGCGGGGGTTTGCGTCAGTTTACCAGCTTTGAAAGTGACGATGCATTTCAGACAGGCAAATTCGGTAGCATCTAACCGGAGTTGTCTAAATCGGGCCACCACCTCTTGTAAAGCTTGTATTTCAGATATGATCTTGTTCAGCTTCTGGGAATCTGTGTTGTCACCGTTCATGCCTAGAATAGAAATAGGGAATAAATGCTCTAATATGAGGGCATTTTCACGATTTAATATTGATTTTTGACAGAATTCTGCATATCAATATCTATTCAATTGTCACGCTAAGATATCTGATTCCCTGTAAACTGGCTATATTGTATGAAAGTTAATGTAAAATCTTCTCTTGGATGATGACAAACACAGTAATTTGCATTTAAATAACAATGCAAGCAGTCATGAATACAACAAAACAACATTATTTGCATTTAAATATAGATTTATAAGTGACAGGTATACTCTATTGTTCAGCAGGAATTTGTTATTCTTTACATGTTGTTCTTTTTTCAGTAATGTATTTTTATGGTAATTTCTACAACAAAGTCATTAAATTGTGCAATTCTTACCAGATACAGCCAGTAGAGTGTTAGCATCAACCGGAATGGCCCATTGTGCTATTCCTAGAACAAACAGTTCTCTCCAAGCATCTTCCAAAAGCATCAGCTGTCGTACAATAGATGTATAATATAATATAGTGTGTAATTTATAAATTTACAAACAATTTCAATATGTAAATTTCCATTATTTTAAAAAGTGCTTTAAATGCCTGTCTTGGTAATTTTTCCTCTGAATATTCCAGCTTTTCCTTTATTTTCCATATTTTCCTTTTTGAAAAGGTGCCTAGAGATAAGCACAGGCATCTGAGAGTCAGCCATTCCAATTCCCCAAACTTTGCTTCCTTTGAAAAGGGTTTACCCTTCTTGGCCTTGCATCTATTCATTCCCGACCACCTAGAAACTTCTCCAGAGACCCAGGCTCTATGAAATGCCACCAGCAGCTCAGCAGGCAGATCCCCTTCATATAAAATGCTGGTATTATCAGGGTTGAGGATTACAGACTAAGCGTGCAGATCTGGGCCCCCATCTTCCTAGAGGGTTGGGGGGCTGGGCTGGGAGAGAGAGAGAGAGAGAGAAAGAGAGATCACTAATTCCCAAGAGGCATGCAGGGAAATCAGGGTGTAATTATGTTAATCGGGTTTTGCTGAGTTTACCTCATCTCACTGCCTGATTTTTCTGAGACTCATAAGTGGACAGCATCAAGGTGCTTGTCATTTTCACTCTAATAAAATGTGCTACTGAATATTTAAAATGAAAATCTGGCTCCTTTTCCAAATTAAAATACTGGATTCCACTTCATTGCAGTTTGCTTGTTGTTGAAGGGTTTCCACTGAAGGGCTAAGTGGCAAACAGTAAGTAAATTTTGTTTGTATTAAAGAGTATACAAATACCGGTTTTCAGAGAAAGTAGCCAGTACACATGTGCGCGCGCACACACACACACGCACACACACACGCACGCACACACACAGCAAATGGTTAGAGTCAACCAGCAAACCTGGTCAAAGATAGAAACTAACTATTTTGAAAAAAATCTGTTTTTGAAAAATCTCTCAAAAACCAGTCAATTCTGGATGATTTATGTGAAGGTATTTCCTTCTGGGAGCTAAGAGCTGAATTGTGAAGGCTTGTAACCAAAATCACAATCAGACCAAAAAGGTTTAATTTTGAAAATGCTTTATTTATAGTTTTATTGCATTAGGTACAGAAAATAATACTTTAAAATGCAAGGTAAACAATGTCTAATTCTGATCATGTCTGAAAGTCCAGGCTATGGAAAAAAGAACATCCCATGCTAGAAGATTAAATGTTTTGAGCACATTGCTAGGTCTCTCTGTAGGAAACATACTTCAGTATTAAAGGGCACCATTATGCTTTAATTAGGTATAAAATGAACTAAAGATATAAGCCACTTGCTTTCCAAAACTACTTATTAGCCTTTTGAGAAATTTGTCATTAATTTTCACGAATGTACTGGTAACGGCCAATGGTTATGAACCCTTCGTTTTCTTTCTTTCCCTTAAGATTAGAAAAATTCTGGCAGAGGTTATTTCTGAGATCCCTAACAACAAAATTTCTGGCCTTCGTTATGATGTAATTTTAAGCAGCATATACTTTTTCTCCCTCTGACTGTCATTTACAACCACAGAATTATGCACAATGTCCATTTGTTTACAAAATCTCTAAAAGTACATCAAGAATTAAGGGAGATCCTAGCCAGCAGGAGGTGTGCAATGCACCCCATAAGCAAACATGCTCATCAATTAGTGGTCAAGGTCGTGAGTATCACAATGGAAAATATAAAGCTGTGAACATAAAATAATGAGACTAGCTCTGAAAATCTTACAGGCAAATACTCTCATCACCTATTTCTCTCAGGTCCCATATTCTTAAGAAACATTGTCTTATTAGCAATTTTAAATGTCATTAAGATTTTTTAAATTTGTGATTAAATTTGATGTTTCAGTTAAACTTAAAAAAAGAGAGAGAGATAATGTTTTTGTATATTTGTTTTTCATAGACCAGATCCAACCTTCCTGAAATAACATAATTACCTTTCTTAGTAAGGATTCCATAGCTAGATATTTTGAACCCATCGTAGGAAGCTAATAAAAATTGTTTCCTCGTTGCTGTTAAGAATGGATGCCTGGCCTTCAGGATTTATCCAGGTGACCTCCAGTTTCATAAGGCTGACCACTGTTGGTTTTTTTTCTTTCCCCAGTCCCCTTCCCCAAAAGCTCAGTGCCCTCTTGGTCATACCTGGTCCTGCAAAGATAGTGTGGAGAAAGCTGGTACACTCTTAGCCCACTTGATGCTCATAAACAGAAGCCTGGCAGCTGATTCACACACGGACTCTGTGGCCACTTCATACAGATACATTGGGGTCCCATTCACTTCATGGGGGTACTGAGCGGGGAAGAAAGAGAAACACCAGGGAGTGAGGAAACCACAGCTTTGCAGGAAGAGCCAAACTTTTAATTTCCTAATTAGAATAGGGAAGGAGATAGGCATTTGGATGTTCTGCTTCAACATGCAGTTGCCACTGGTAGACAAAAAACAAACATCTATATCTATAGAATTTGAGAAATAATAACCACTGGGAAAGGCCCATTTCCAGTCTTTGGGGACCTGTTCCTTCCAGAGGGGCATCTGGCTTTTCTATCCCCTGCAGCAAATTTTCCTCCGACGGAGCCAAGTGCCAGGCCTGTCTCCCAATTTAGACAAGAGCTGCTTGCATTTGTGTAAATAAAAATAGATGTGAAAAAAGTATAAATTAATAGGCATCCCAAACACAAATATGCATATGAGTATTTTTAGAAAGGATTAGTATATTATGGAAATATTTCAATTAGACATCTTAATCATTCACAGAGCATTCCCATTCATAACTGACAACATATTCATAACACTACTTTCCCAAGCTTATTATACACATCAAGGGTAAGAAAGCAATATTAAATATTGTGCTTGTGCGTGTGCCCAGGTGTTTGGCTTCCCTGCAGTTTGGGGCTGCAGCTGGCCCTCCCCTTCGCGGCCTGGAGTGGGTGCTTTGGGTAGGTACCAGCTGGAAGCCTGGAAGGTAGTCCCTAGGTGGCAGCCTTTTGAAGTGGTTCAGGCTGTGGCCCTGCTCAATAGAGACTCAATCCTGGTACAAATACATGCATCTCAGAAGGGGGTGAAGGGAGAGCGGAAGACCAAGCCAGCTTCCTCAAACTGTCCTAACAGGTGAGCTCCACCCGTTGTTGCTGCATTAGGGACCCACAGCCTTGCCCCAGAAAAACAGATCCCTGCAATCTGCCACACAGGGACTCTTCTCTGCCAGCTGCAGCCAACTCCTTTCTCCTAAAAACAGAAGTGCTCTTCTGGTCTCTGGAAATACCGAGGTTGCCCCTCAGTTCAGCCGGGACTCCACACCAGGGCATTGTTTAAAGGTGCGAATTCCTGGGCCCCACCTCAAACTTGCTGAAAGGGACTCTATGGGGGATGGGCCAGGGAGTCCACGTTGTAGCCAGCTCAGAGAGTGACTCTACTGTCCACTAAAATTTGAACACTCCCGGCTTAACAGGGGAGAGTGGGGGACCGACAGCTCCCTGCAGAGCCCGACCCCGAGCACCACGCGAGGTCGCTCTGTCTTTGGCTTGACCCCATCCTAGCTCCAGAGAGATGGGTGCCCCCCACACCCGCCCTCAGTTGGCCACCAGACTCCCTAGAGTCCAGCAAGGGCACGGACCTTGGGCGTGGGCTGAGCCAGGCTCACGAGAGTCTGCCGCTCCGGGGTGGCGGACACAGCGGCCAGCTCCAAGCCATGGGGCTCGAGCTGCGTGACTGCGGTGAAGAACGCCGGCGCGGGGAGCGCGGCCGAGGGGAAGTGCGCAGCCGCCCCATTCTCCTCCTTATGTCCACGGAAGTAGAGGGCCACCTGCTTGCGAATGGTGGACGTCCGAGGCCCCCGCTCGTGCTGCACGGCTGCAGAGACAGACAGATGGACGAATGCCCAGGATCAGAGACTCGACAACACTTAACTGCTGCCGAGCTCCCGGGCCAAACGCGCCGTCTGGGCAGGCAAGGTCACTCAGAGGTGAAGAGAGGGGGGGACAGGGATGGGTGGGCGGAGGACGCTCTGCGATCTCACTCTTAACACTGCAGGCATGAGAGAGCTGAGGCTGAGAAGGGGAGCCCGACCCCAAGTGTCACGATAATGGCCAAGCCTCCAGCAAGACTAGGTGTGTTCTCTTGTGCGTTCAGGGCTCTTCCCCACCCAGGGGAGGTCGCAGAGAGAGACCCTGGACGGGGGGGGGGGGGGGGGGGGGAGTAGTTGGGTATCCCTGTCACTGACAAAGGGGAGAGGGAGCACTGTGCCCAGCCAGGCACTGCATCCCTACACAGACTTTTCCCGCTCAGCCCAACCGGCTCCCCCCACCTCCACCCCCCCGCGGAAAGGGTGTTTGGCCTCCGAGGGCCTCCGGAGAAAAGGACCCTAGCCGGGGACACACTGGGGGATGGAACGAGGGAGAGCCCGTCTTGGAGTGTGCTGGAGGAAGGCAGGGGAGATGTGACAATTACCGCCAACAGTTTAAACAAACAAATTAATTCAGGGCAATCTTCCGCTCGCAGAGCTTGACAACTTGTCAATACACAAGTTCAACAGGTTGGACGTTCCCTCCTGCTTCCTGCGCCGCTGAGGAAGGAGCTCTCCCCAACGGGCGCTGTGCCTCCTGGAGCTGCCACCCGGCCCGGACCGTGGCCAAGGCAAACCCTCTCAGCATCCTGTTCTGAGGCCCTATTCCTCCCTCCCGGCCATGACCCCGGCCCCCGGCCAGGCCTGGGGCGCCCTCGCCAGGCCACCACTGGGCACGCACTCGGCCTGCGCTCTCCGCCCGAAAAGCATCTGATGCCCTAGTTCTTGTTGAACGAGTTTAAGAGCCTTCTGAAAGTCGGGTGTCCGAGGCACCCACAGGCGTCACCCTGCCTCTCCAGCCCCTTTTTGTAGAACCGAGAGAAAAAGCCCAGATCGCCACAGTGGCCGTCCTGGTTTGGGAATCTTGACGAATTAACAAACACGGGCTCGAAATTCCGCGTGTTTGTGTCTCTGCCCTTCCTCCTCCAGCACAGTCTCCCAGTCCCCACAGTCTCCAACCTCGGAGACTATCCCGACAGCGAGATCCTGCGGAAGGCTAACAGGCTTAGAGGTGGCCACAAAAGGGCTGCAAGGAGAGGTGAGAAGAGGTATTAGGACGAGGAGCAGGAAGTACCGCGCACGTGTGTGCCCAGCAGAGCGGGGTCCCGAGAGCGCTGTCTTCGTGGGGGTGCTTGTGGGGCGCAAGTTTCCTATGTGGGTGTGGACCATACCTCCAGAGTTCAGTGGGGTGGGGGTGGGGGTGGGGGCTCATGCAGAGAGACGGAAGGATAAGACTGAAAGTCCGAGGCCAATTCCCAGCATCTGGAAAGAAGTGCTCCAGAGATGATTTACATGCATTGGAGTGCCATGTATTTTCTGTACATATAATTTACTTACTAGTCAACCAACATTAGAGAAATAAAAAGCTGTACTGATTACCATCTTTGTTCATGTTGACTTCCAAACACTTCTTCAGCCGACACGCCCTGCACTGGTTTCTGTGCGTCTTGTCCACCGGGCAGCCTCCCTGGAACAGAGCGCAGGCGGTCAGCGGGCCCCAGGGCCTTTAGACTGGAGACTCGAAGCCGGCACCGGGTCGGGGGAAACGTGGAGGCAGGAAGGGACCCCGCCACCGATCTCGGAGCTGCAAGCCTGGGTCCGCGAAACTCGGAGGCCTTGGGCACGAGCAGGGCTAGGTTGGGAGAGGGCCAGGATTCCCCGGGGCTCCTTCAAAAGGAACAGCCCCTGACCCTGTGAAAGTGGATAAGGAGGAAAAGTCCTTCGCCATGCAAGTGAAGGGTCAAAGCGCCTGGTTTGCCTGACTGCCGTGTTGGGAGGAGAAGCTCTGGAGGGGAGCTTCCGCCAGGCTCGGAGGTCGTGGAACAGGGACGAGACTTTTCAGGACCGAAGACAGCGACCTGGCCCCAGAGGAGGAGGCTTCAGAGCTCAGTTAGGAGCAGGCTTGTCAGCCAGGATCCTCACCACGCCCCTCTCCCGTCAACTATTCTTTCCGCCTTCGGGTCTCGAGTCTACTTCTTTCTGTCACTTGGGGCGGGGGGGGGGGGCATTTATTTGTCGGATACATATTTCCCATTTATTGTTCACTCTCTTGTTTCCTCACTCCTGGTGTTGTACTTGAAGCCATCCTTATAACTAGCAGGTTAAAGTTGTCTTAAAGACTGGCCTTAGCCCCAGATTCATGGAAACACAGCCATTCCTGGAAGGTGAGGCAGAAGCCAGAGTGGTTAGCAGGGCAAGGCCTACAGAGGTGAGGATGGGAAGGGAAGAGCCCAAGACCTGGGCAAAATCTAGAAATGCCCATTATGTAAATATGACCAGGAAGATAATGTGATGGACTGTCTGACAAAATGATAATATGGACTGAGAATATTGGCATGATAACTGGAAAAGAAGAGCTAATTACTGCCTTAGAAATATTTATTTGAGATGCACGAGAAAAAATGTTCTACCTAATGCAATTTTCTGGAAAGATATTGGCTATTAGAAGAAGAAATTTACAGAGAAAATTTCTTATGGAATTCATTCAGTGTTGGTGTTATTCCTGAAGGAACATATACATAGATACATAAAGAGTCATATCTACATATGCATTTTATACACCAAAAATATCTAAGAAGTTTCGTGCTCTCCTATATTTGTATGACTTGCAACTGTTACAAGTACTGTAGGGATAAAGAGAAAAAAATAAATGTATTTTTATTTTCCTTCATAATCTAAAAAATTCACATACTGTGAATTTGGGGTAGGCACATTTTCTGAAATAACCTTTAGGAAAAGATTACACACCTGAATACATTTTTTAAATGAGATCCCACCCTTCTGATTTAAAATATGTTGAGGTATTTAAAATAAAGGCAGGGCAGAGGTTCGTAACAATTTCTATATGTCCTCATTACTGTTGATAATAAATTGGAATATTGTTTATCTAGAAATAATTTTTGCTTTCTAAATGAATTCTTCAGGGCATCTTTGCTGGCCAGTGTAATAGCTGAATGTAAAGAGGGTTAAAGAACTTGTTATTAAACGCAATCGTATGTCTATCTTCATATGATTATCTTCCTAGTGTTCTGATAAACAAGCTAATGCAAAATGGAAGCCTTCACTTGTTCTTAGGAGTGTCTTCAAATCAGATCACATGTATATAAATATCTGAAGCTTGAGAGAAAGATGAGTGCTTGAGCTCAGCCCATTTATTCTCTCTGCAAGGAGAGGACACCAAGCCTGATGAGTCTATTATCAGTCCTTTACAAGGACTTGGACTGATATCAATATGTTCGAATTGATAGCCAACCCCTTTGAAAATATCAAGCATCACATCTGAGATTTTGATTCCCTAATTCTGTGCATTGCATAACATTAAAAGGTAATTTAAGTAGAAGCCTGCTCAAATCTGATGACCCACAGCAATACTCCATTCCTGCGGGGCTGTCGGGATACAGTCCTGCATGTGTATAATGTGATGTGTCCATATGGTGATCTAGAAACTGATACAGAGCTGGGTACCCAATTAAACAGGAACCAGGGCTGGAGTTCAAAATAACTTATCCAAATGTAAGTATCTTCTTATTTTTGTTGATAATCCAAATCTATTGGAAATTGATATGAGCAGACATAGCTTTAGAAAAAAGAATAATTCGCTAGCTCCAGACAATATGTGTGTGTATATGTATATCATATATAAATATTAATTAGTGAAGATGTTTTACCATTTTGGTTACCAAGGGATGACTTCTGACTAATACACTCTCCAGGGTCTTCTTGGGAGTCAAGGTGGTAGCTCTGTGCTGAGAGTGTGTGTGCCTGACCTAGGAAAAGGCAGTGTGGTACCAAAAGACTGGTCTCCCTAAAATGATCCCATTACTGAGCTGGAAACTGAGTCAGGGGGTCCTACTTTTTCTTTCTGGAAGCTTTGGCTCACTCTCAGCCCGTGCTCTAAACTCCCTTGTCTTTTTGAGATCATTCTGCCTGCTCAAGACCAAAACACAACCAACCAGGCACATCTTCTAAACGGAGGAAGAGAAGATATGGGAGGCTTGGAGAGGATCTCAGCCACCCCTTCCTTGAGAGCCTTCTCTTCTTGCCCACTCTGCCCTTTCCTGACAAGGCCCAGTTAAAGCCTCATGGAAGCCGAAGCTCCACTGCTCACTTCCAGTGCAGTCCTGCTTCTCCGAGGTTGAAAGGACAAAGCCCTTCACACAGCAAGTCCTGTGCTCCAGATGGCCACACTCACCTTGGGTGGCAGCCTTGCCTGGGACGCCTTGTGCCTTTTACTTCTGCCACGGCAGGCAGGGGTCAAGGCACCGAGCTGGGGCTGCTGCTCAGAGCGGGGGAGCGGGGTAGGGTGCGGGCAACACAACGTAGCCTTTCCTCCAGCTTGCAACGTGTGGTTTAGACTCTAAAGTTCCTTAGGCCCCCTGGGCTGGCTCTAAAGCAGCTGGGTGAGGGCCATACCCAGTGTCAAAGTCTGGGAGAGAATTACAAAAAGCGGGGTGGGGGGTGTGTGTGTGCAGGGAGGAGCCCGGATTTCAGATTCCCCCCTGCACACTCCTGTATCTTCCCTTACCTCTTCCCGCCTTTCCCACGCGGAAGGGCCTCCGAGAGCTGAGGCGGGAAGGAGGGGAGAGGAAGGGAGAGGTCAGGGCTCGGTCTCTCCTCAGCAGCTTGGAAACTCGGAGGAGGCCTGGGCACAAACAAAGGAGGGGGAGGCGGCGAAGGGGAGCCGGCCGCGCGGCCCTGGCCGAGGTACCTGGTTTCCGGATTTGCAGACATACGTCCTGTTCCTTCGGATACTCCGTTTGAAAAACCCCGAGCAGCCGTCGCAGGCGTAGACCCCGTAGTGTTTCCCCGAGCTGCGGTCGCCGCACACTTTACAGGGGATATCTAAAATACGGCCTGCAATGGCAGGAAAGACAGGCAAGGGGGGAAGGGACGACAGGGAGGGCGGAGAAGAGGGAGGCAAGGGGGAGCGGGAGAGAGAGATGCTAAGCAATCTGACCTCTGAAGGGATTAGCACTGAAGCTGCGGTAAAAGCAAATAATGAAGTGATTTTATAGCCAAACTTTTTTTCCTTGAGCAAGTGTCAGTTTCCTACAATGAGCATTATTCATGCACCGCTACATGTATTTGGGTCTCTTCTAATCGCCGAGACCCATTTTGGAATAAAAGATTACAGCAGGCCGGGGCGGCAGCACGGCCCGCCGCTGCCTTTCTGCTCCGCGGAAAGTTTGGCCGCCTCCCTCCCCCGCTCTCGCATTTAACAGAGAAAGTTGTTAGCGCGCGAGGAGACAAACTTGAAATGTAAAAGGGGAAAGAAGAAAAACAAACACGGCTGGAACCGGGGATGGCAGCTGGAAGGCAATCGAGTTTTCTCTGAGCTGCCGGGCGGTTGTTATTATTAGGATTATTATTGTAATGCTAATACCAGGATTATTAATGATAATAAGGGTAGTGGTAATTGCCCAACTTTCGCTTTACCTATTTTAAAAAATGCTTAGTGGATCGCTTTTGAGAAATTATTTCTTTTAGGGAAAAAAGCATTTCCCCCCCAAAGTAACTAGCACCGGGCTGGGCAAAGGAGAGAGCGGCGCGTGCGCGGTTCCTTCGCAGGTTAGCGCGGGACAGCCACCCGGCCCTACCCCCTCCACTCCCCAAGTTCTTCCTCTGAGACCCACCTCCTCACACCAGATCGCGGGTCGGGTGGGTCCCTGCCTGCCTGTTTTTCCTCCGCTGTGGGAGGCTGATATTTTAAAGGAGCTAGCTGGTTTCTCTGGTCTGCCCTCCACCCCTATTGGCCTCGACGGTCGCCTGGCTTAGGAGAACTTTTCTTGGAATCCCCTCAAGCCTGGGGTGGCTTCGGACCTCGGAGGAACGTTAGGGAGAGGGTGGTATTCCAAAATTCAGGAGGGAGGGAACTCTTTTCTCTAAGGTTCAAGAGTCCAACCAGCCTGAAGCGATAGGGACTTAGAAATCTTTCCTCTCACAAAGTATTAAAGTGGCCACACTTTGATAATAGTAATGATGGTAGTAATAATTAACCTCTTTACATTAAATTTTCCCGTTGCGACTCCACCCAAGGCCTCCAGTCTGGGCCCGGAAGGCCTCCGTCTCTGTGAAGCTGGACTGTTGCTGCCCGGAGCACTCAGGTTGGGGAGCGCTATCAGGCTGGGGTGCAGGGAGGCGAGTCAGAACCCCCCGGCCAGGGGAATAGAGGAGGCCAGGGCACCACGTGGGGAGGGCCCCGAGGTCTCAGAAGTGGAAATTTGCTCGTGGATTCCGAGGCGTCCTGGCGGGCGCGATTCCTTCAGCAAGGCCCTGGAGGAGCTGCTGGGGGCCGGGAAGGAGGGGGGCATGGAGAGCCCAGCGGCCTGGGTGGGGGTGGGGGTTCGGTAACGACCAAGCTCGGCCGGGGTAATTACAACCCCGCCATAGCACCTGCCTATAGAGCCACCAGTGACCCGTCAAAAAGAGTAGCATGGGAATTCAGACGGCGACAAAGGCCGGTGGGGGAGGCGCGCGGCACGGCGACCACCGCCTCGGCGCTCCCTTTCCTGCAGGGTGGGAGGAAAGGTTGTGCTGGGGTGGGGGGAGGAAGTGGCTGGAGAGAGCCAGGCGAAGCCACAGCGGGGCTTGTCCCTCTCCCCCCTGGGCCTGTCGCTGGGCCCATGGGAACTCACAGGCACCCAGCAGCCGGGGACTTGAGCTCAGCTGCAGCACACTCACGCTGCAAACAGTAAACTTGGTTTCCTTATTTTGCAACCATCCTTCCCAGCATGACACGCGCCCTCTGGCTGAGCTGGGGTCCATGTTTGGGATTCAACAATCCTGTCGCCCCAGCTGTCCTCTTTCCGGTGGCACTTTTGATGATGCCAAGATGAGGGCGCAGAAGCACCAGTTGTGGTGTTTCTCTCCCCCCCCCCCACACACACACTTCCCATCCAGACAGGAGGACAGGGACACACCACATCTCTGGAGAACCCCATGGGGCGCAGGGAGGACCGGTGCGGGGTGGGTGACCGCTCTCCAGCTGGGGGCGGGGGTCGGGGCTCCTCGACAGTCGCCCGGAGGGGCCGCCACAGCTGCGGGTGGGTCCTGCCTCGGCGCAGACCTCCGGGGCCTCGGCTCCCGGGGCAGATTAGAGGCCGGCCGACTTGCCTGGGGCGGGGGACAGGAGGGAGGGACGCGAAAATTCCGGGGCAGAGCGGGTCTGCGCCTCAGACTCCGCCACCCAGCCACGTTAAGGTGACTTGGGGTCACCAGACAAGCTGGTTGACCCCGTTGCAAAGCTCCTCTCATTTAGCAAACCGAGCGAGCTCCGACGTGAGGCAAGCGGGAGTTTCCTGAGGCTGGAAAACCGTTCTTAACTTCCCTCGCCAGGGGGTCCCCTCGGGGCTTTTTGTGTGTCATAATTGCCTAAAGATATATGGCAGCTTCGATTACTGTAATTACCATCAGAGGCTGTTGAAAGAAGTTAGTCTGGGCTGCAGGGGTGACTGGCCGGGGTCTTGTTACCACCCAGGCGGGGCTCCCGGGTGACATCGCTCTGCCCTCCAGCTGTGCGAAACCGAGCGAGGCGGGGGCTGCAGACCTCGCCGCCCGGCTCGGTCCTGACCTCGCCCGCTGCGCGCCGACCTCCTCGCCGCCCGGTGCCCGAGGGCCGCAGTTTTCGGCCCGGCTGCCGCCACCTGTCTGGAGAAGGCCGGGATGCAGCGGCGCCGCGGGAGGGGGCTGCCTTCCTGCGGGCCTGAGGAACTTCCCCGGCGGCGGCCGAACCTGCCATGGGTCTCAGGCTTCCGAGGCCGAACTCAGGCTCTTGGGAAGTTGGAGAGCGCCCAAATTTCCCCAGCATGTCACTCGGCCTTTTTTTTTCCTGAGTCCGGATGGTTTGCCTGAGTCCCAGTCCACCAGACGCGGGTACGGCCCCCAGCGAAGCGAGCCGCGCGCCTGTCCCTTCCCTCTATTCCAAGGCCTCGTCTTTTCAAGCTCCCCCCAACACACACCAACCCCGGCGACTCCACACCGCAAGTGGACGAACAAGTCTGAGGCTCCTTACTTCTAGGAAAGGAGGCGAGGGCCTGTCACAGGGCGAGGTAGCAAGGAGGCCTGCCAAAGCCCGCGGGCTCTGGTTTTTGCAATAGAGGCTCGGAATGCAGCAGAAACGGTTTCCTTCTGCGCCTCTAGGAAGGACCTCACACGCCAGAACGTGGGCCACGAAAAGCGAGCCCACCTCGCTTCCCTGAGAGGAGAGCAGCCACGGCCAGCGTAGGCCCGAGGCTAACTGGAAACGCCAGGCCTCTGCAAGGCTCTGCTCGGATTTGGGCTGCTGCAAAGTTTCCTTCTTTCTTCCCCCTGCCCTAGTTTAAACATTTCTCCTTTTCTCTTTTTGTTCACGTTCACTTTACTTCAATTTTAAAAATGGTAACACCCAAACCAAAGCAACCGTTTAAAGTAAATTCCTTCCCTCTTAAGTGGGACTTCATCATCAGTCCTCAGAAGTATCTTGGATTCTCCCAACTTTCAAAGACTCGGGACAATGAGGGCGAGTGAGGGGAGGGGGCGTTTGAGGAAAACACGGAGTGCCCCAAATGCTATGGGCGAAGGCAACAAGGGCGGTTTGAGAACTCCAGGACGTGGGGACTGCGACAGGGGCCACCCCCAGCCTTGGGCCCCCGGAAAAGGCAGCTCCGGGCCGGAAGGCGAGAACTGACATGCCCCGGGGAGATCCGAGCCTTGCGACAACGCCCGCCCTACGCGGGCTCGGGCCTCCACATTCTCGGGTTCCGCTGGCACTGGGCCCGAAGATGCCCTCGCACACACACTTAGCCCCACACTCTGGCGTCTAGGGGCAGTTAGACATCAGCCGCGGCTCTCCATCCTGGAGGGGAGCCCCCAGCTAGGCAAGTTTGAGGAAGGAGAGGAGCGCGCGAAGGGAACAGGCCGCACACTCCTGCCTCGGCCGAGCTCCCGCTCGAAAAATCCTTGGGATTAGGGATTTGGTCCCCTCTTTGCTAGAGCGGTTCGCCATACTTTAAATTCCCCAGTTATGACCTACGCGGATTTAGGATTAAGGAAAATGTGACTTTTAAATTGTTTCTGCTTCCCAGTTTGCAGGATTATTTGAAATAGCTAGAAACGGGGTGCAAAGCATTCCATTCAAATCCGCTTTGCGCAGAGTTGCTTTTGCGCGCTGGAGCTCGGAGTTTTGAGCGAGCGTGTTATTGTGCTGCCGCCTGGAGCTGCGGCCTAGTTCCCGCCCCCGTCGCCCCCCCCCGCCCCGCACCTGGCGGCCAAGCGGAGACAACTCGCGGGACTGGTGGGCAGCATGGGTCTCAACCTTCCCACCATACCAGGGCGGGGGGTGGCGGGCAGGGGGAATCAAGCAATCCAGAGGTAACGAAATTCTTCCCTCACCACGAAACATCCCGACTCACGGTCTATGAGGAGCTGGGCCAAAGCGCACTCGCCGCCGGAGTCCCTTTCCCGGGCTCGGAGCTGCAGCGCTCAGGGCAGGACTCCCCGGCCTCCCCTCCCGCCCGCCCCAGGCTGCGCTCCTGAGCCCCGCGGCGGCCCCAAAGGTACCCACTTGTTGATCCGGCCGGCTTGCTCATGCTGGCTGTCCCGGGCCGGAGCGGTTGGTGGGCGCTGCCCGAGTCCCGGCCGGCAGCGCCCGCCTCGCCGCCGGGCGCCGCCGTTCTCCAGCCGCCCTCCAGGCTGCAGGCTCCCGGGCCGGACAGGTGGGTGTCGGTTGCGCGCTGCGCTGCTCCCCGGGCGCTCAGAATTCGTTCCACGGTGGGAATTTAAGCATCCTCAAGTTTCTCCCCCGCTCTTGCAAAACCGCAGCTGCTGGGAATGTTGCTTGGTACGGACACACGCATGGACAGACAAACGGAGAGAGGACAGGCGGATCGAGGAAGAAGGGAAGAGGACAGCAAGAGAGGAATAGTGAAGGACAGAGATGGAGACACGAAAATGGTCTTCCTATGGAGCAAAAAGGACAAAATCCCTCTCTTTCCCCATTCCTGTCTCTCAGTCTTCAATTTCTCCTACATTAGGCATGCGGAGTGTGGCCAGATCTCTACAGACCGCTGCTCTTTTAAGGAAAGAAGGAAAACACAACCGCGGTCTCAGGCAGATGGGCTCCGCGCTGCCCAAACCTGAGAGCGGAGTGGGAAACTAGATTGCCGGGAAGTCTTCCGAGGGAACAGGCGGCCAGGTCCCAGTTTCCGGGGAAAGCCGCGCACAGAGCGGCAAAGGGTCCCCGAAGTTCATTACCCCGTGACTTTGTGCTTGTCGCTGCGGGCTGGGTCCCCAGTAATATCTCCAGAAGCGCTCTGACAGGCAGCCGCGGGGAGGGGAATAGGGCGTCCCTGGCCCACTTAGCTTTTCCCCCAACTCCTGGCGGGGTCTGACGTCAGCCATGTGCGGGGAGGGGAGGGGGAAGAGGGAGGGGGTTAAATGCTAATGATATTAATGAACCTCCAAGCGGCTCCGAAAGAAAATGCAGGCGCTGTCGGAGCTGACGAGTTAGAGTGTGAATATGGGACTGTGGCTCTGTGCGTGCGTGATGGTGAGGACGGTGCTGCTCTTGTAATAAAAATGAATTATTATATTTCATGGCAAGAGGGAAGGGGAGGGGAGATGGAGCATTCTCAAAACGCTCTCCCCCTTTTCTCCAGAGCGCCAGACAGATTCGTGGAAGAAACTGGGTGGCTGTGTGTTTGTGTGTGATTGTGCGCACCGGATATGGCCATGTGAGTTGGTTCATTCTTGGTCCCGTGCCCCTTCTGTTGGGTAAAACTTGGATCTGGTCCGAGGTGAGTAATTATTCATTTTGCAACTACCTACGGAAAGTTGTAGCTGAGGACGCTGTGTGCGGACTTGGGGCCTGGGATGGGGTCTGCGGGAGGCTCCGCGTTCCTGCGGCCTTCGCGGAGTCCGCTTGGGCACCAGCTGCGGGGAGGGTGCCGCCCGCTCCCCAAAGCAAAGCCCATCCCGAGCAGAGCGAAGCTCCGGTCGCCTCCATTATCTGCCCTGGAGCGACTGGAGGGCAGAACTTTCCCTCCTGCCGCTCATCCCCAGAAGGCTTCCCTGGCTCCCCCTCTCCAGGGAGCGTCCGAGATTCTGGAGAGCTTCCACCGCCTTAGGCCCCCACCCCTCCCGCCAGCCTTCCCCCGATTCCTATGCTCTCGCGCGCCCTGGTCCCTGCGCCGCGCTGAGAGAGCGCACGCCGAGGGAGCGGTGATCCCCGATCTCTAAGAGATTAATTCTTATTTAAGCTCTCCCAGCAGCTTGAACTTGTCGAACAAGAGCTTGCCAGGCTGTCCTCCGGGCGGGGGCCGGCTAGAGGTCAGGGGTCACACCTCCTGCGCTCCCGCCCTCCGCTCCGCGTTTGGGGAGGGGGGGGCGGGGAGGAGAACTGAGATCAGTGCTCCGCAATTCTACCTGCCCTCCCCTTTCTCCAGACTCAGGGTCAACCCGGGCTTTCGTTGAGAGTTTGAGTGTGCAAAGTGAGTGCCTGCGTCCCCCGAGCCCTCGGAGGGCGCAGCAGCTCCTCCACCCGGCGTCTCCGGGGCGCAGGCTGTGCGCTCCTGTAGGCGGCCTCAGCACGTGACTGCAACTTTCCGCAGCAGCCTCCGCAGGGCCTGGAGCCCCGGCCTGCGCTCACCACACACTTGAGAGCCCGCGTCCTCGCCAGGGTCCTAGGGACACCCGGAAAAAGCAAGAAAGGGGACGGCTATTTCCCAAGTTAGCCCTCCTCGGTTCTTCGTATTGGGACCAGAGTGGGGAATTGTGGGACAAAACCATAA